TTCTAGCAAGCTTTGACGACGGGTCCTTCATGTTAAAGAGATAAACTAAGGGTCGATGGTCAGATTTCACCGTAAAGTGAGCGCCGTAAACATACGGTCGAAACTGCTTGATCGCAAAATATATAGCTAAAAGTTCAAGTTCGATTATCGGTTTATTCTGTTCTGCTTTATTGAAAGATTTTGACGCGAAACATATCGGCAAACCATTTCCGTCATTGTTTTGGCTTAATATAGCACCGCACCCAGCTTTCGAGGCATCGACAGTAATAATAATTGTTTTGTGAAGTCTGGGTATTGTAGCAATTTGGGGGAATTAACGCTGATTTTAACGATTCAAAAGCATTGTCGCACGCACTGTCCCAAGTAAACTCAACTTTTTTCCTGCCTAATTTATTTAAAGACGCTGCCAGAGACGCAAAATTTTGTATAAACCGCCTGTAATAATTAGCAAACGCGACGAAACGTCGAACCGCATCTTTATCAGTCGGTTTTGTATATTTTTTAACAGCGTCTATTTTGGTGTCGTCTGGCAACAGACCTTTGGCTGAACATTTATGGCCTAGGAATGTAACTTCCGGCCGAGGGAAATTGCATTTATTAGGGTTGAGTTTTAGGTTGAAGTTTCAACAAGTCTCAAAAACTTTCGCTAAATTTTTCATGTGATGTGCTTCACTACATCCAATAACGATTATATCGTCAACGTAAAGAAATGCCACATTAGGCGGAATACCGGAAAAAGCAATTGTCATCTTACGCGAAAATGAATTTGGTGCTACATTTAACCCAAACGGTAATACTTTCCATCTGAATGCTCTTCGTCCGTACTGAAGGAGGTAACGGCACGTGAATCAATATGTAAAGGGATTTGATGAAACCCTGAAAAAAGGTCTAAGGTTGAGAAATATTTCCCCCGTCCGAGGTTATCTAAAATGTCGTCAACTCGAGCGAGAGGGAACTTATCGGCAATCAATTTTTTGTTAACAGCGCGAAAATCTACGCACATACGGTATGCTTTTTTACCATTAGTATCTTTTTTTGGAACGACAATAAAAGGACTATTATAATTCGAATAACTTTCTTCGAGTAATTCATTTTCTAATAACTTGTTAACTTGGCGATTTATTTCTTCACGCTGGGAATATGGTAATCGGTAATTTTTAATGTAAACTGGGTTATTGTCTGTCAAACGTAGTTTTTGTTCGTAAAAGTTATTTAACGTCATTTTGTCGTCGGGAAGTGCAAATATGTCTGCGTAATCTACGCACAAGTTAAGTAATTTGCTTTCAGCGTAACTAGGAATTTGTTTTTCCAAAACAATTATCAGTTCTTTTGTCCGGTTGTCATCGTTTCTTGTCTTATTTATAGAATAAACATTGAAATTAGAAAGTTTTTCAGTCCGGATGTTACAGTTCTTTACGTATTTTATACCGTTTGTGGTATTTATGACTTTGACGATTGGGTTGCTTGTACTAATTATACATCGTGCTGTGAATACTCCGCTATCGATTTCTTGTGATTCCACAAAAAGTGGTTCTGGTGAACTTCCTAAATTAAAAAGACGAAAAACTTCGCATCTGGGTGGAATTACGCAGGTATCGCTTTCAGTTCCGTGAAGAATCGGAATCGCGACTTTTTTGTTACCTACCCAGAAGGAAATGCAATTGCTTGCGTAGCTGATAACGCATTTATTGAATTTTAAAAAGTCTTTACCCAATATGCCGTCTGCTGGAATATTAAAGTAGTCGTTAACCACATGTAATGTATGTTTTATAAAAAAGTCCGAAAAAGTCAAATTTGTCGTTATTTTACCCAGAGTAGCAACAGTATTAGAAGTAACGCCCGTTATGCGGATTATAACATTCGTATCGAATGGAAAATTTTTGCAAAAAGTTGAAATTTTTATTAAGGAGATGTCGGCTTGTGTGTCGACCAAAAATGTACATAATTTATTAGACCCGGAAACTTTTGCTATAGAAAAATCATTTAGTTGTTTAACTCCTGCTCCCCCAGTGTTCGCTCCTGAGGGGCTTGAGCGTTTAAAGCACGGACATTTGCATTTCTACTCCTACCGTTTGCTGTTCGTGCATTATTGTTCCTATTAGTGTTGTTGTTAGAATTAACCCGTGAACCATTATTGTTATTGTGATAGCGGTTTCCATTAGCGGATCGATATCTTTGACTACTATAACTAATAAATTTATTATTATTAGACGAAGAAAATGACCTATTATTCCCATAACCAGTAAAATTGCGAGTTGGGTTAGTCCCACGATAGCCACCACGTGAATTTCTAAACGTGTTGATACCACTTAAGGCTATCAAAAAAAAAAAAATGGAGGTACATGTACGTACATAAGTACAACCTCGTTTAAATATCAATTCAAATTCAATTTTTATGTTTTGTGGCTTTCTGTTCTTATGCCGTTATGCATACATATGTACATATATAATGGTGGTGGCGTGGCTTGATATTAATATCATTAACAATTGTTAGCCGTTATACATACATACCTACGTGTATGTATGTAGATAGCGGTTGGTGGCGCGGCTGTACCCGAAAACCGTACAAAATGCTGGAACTTTCTTTAAAAATTTGCTGGTTACGTAAAAATGTGCTGTACATCTCGCACAATGCTGGAACTTTCTTAAAATGTGCCGTTTGCATAGAATTTATGCTGTACCTCGCGCAAAATGCTGTACGGTGCGTACCATACTCCACCGTTTAATGTAAAAATGATGTTAGGGTTTTTTTCCACCAACCGGAGCCACCACCAGCAACTTTACAGTGCTTTTAGCACTTTTTCATTTTGGAGCAGATTACGTGACTCTGCATCACGGTCGCCATGTTGCGCTCCCGCTTACCGTACAATGAAACTCCTTTAAAACGCCGGGTTACAGCTCCGGTTCCAACTGGGGCTCCGCTATGCACATGTATGGGTAGCAGCGCTACACATGGAGTTACAACACTCCGAGTTTGCACAGTAAAGAGATGGCTTAAATTTATAATACAAATAGTGTACACACGCGAGTACTACTTTCGATTTTAAAAATAAAAATACATAAGTGTTGCCATGTAAGCTGTTACCACATCGCGTGTAGTGCCATTACAGTAGAAAGGTATTTTCCCACTATTTTTATTAATGTGCTAAAAAAAATCATTCACCTCCCTTTTTTGAAATACCGACATATTTTTAGTTCACTTGGAATGACGTCCCTTCATATTACATTTCTCTTTCATCCTTCGAATGAGTTAATTAGAAAAAGAAATAAAGAGGGTGACAAAATACCTTTGCAATGATACCTCACAAGTCTAAATCGTAATAAATAGTTATGGTTCAGTTAGTAAATTTTTTCTTTTACCAATCTTTGAAAAAATTAAAAAACAGCATCAAAAATCTCATTACTACGGGTTGTAGGTGTTTTTTTTTGTGAACGTCTAGCCTGTGCGATAGTAAATTTTACACACAAAAATCAATATATTCGCGAACCCACGGGCCAAATATAGTAAAATTGCCTTTTTAGTTTTTCACGTCAGTAATTCAAAAATGATTTCAAAAATTCAGTGAAATTTCCTTAGAGTAGAAGTATGGGTTCCAAATTAAAGAGGAAATTCTGTGGAATTTGTGGGGGTTAAATTTTTCGGTGCATAAGGACTGGTAAGTATTGAAAACGTCATTTTAAAATTTTATCCCTGAAATTTCGCAATATTTGTTTTTGAAAAAATTATGTGTTAAGGACTTATATAAACTCGGTAACATCGTCGAGTTTGGTCGTTCTAACTTTATCAGCTAAAAAAATTACCTATTTGTCCTTGTGAATCCAACAAATTTTATTTTTATTTTTTTAAATCTAAAGAAATTTACCCTTTCATTTCATATGTTTGAAATTACAAAGTTCTTTAAAATAAAGCCTGACGTCAGGGAGAAAAATAAAAATGCCACTTTAAATAATAAACTAGCCCATTTATTTATTATTTGTTTTATGGTGGGAGAGCTTCTCAAACAATATAGAAGCATTTTTTTCGATTTAAGTTGTTGAAAAGTAATGAACATCTAAGTCCCGGGACTAATCGTGGGATCTGGGGTTGTGAGAACGACATCCCGAAAATCTCGGGATCGTAAAAAACGAAAAGTTAACATCTCTAGTGCATACCGTTATGTATAATGTGCATGCCCAATTAAATATATAAAAAATTCATACAGTGGTCAAAAAATTATAGCCGAACCACTTTTTGCCAAGTTTTAACGTATTATTTTTTTGTCATTTTGTGCAATATTAAAAAAAAAACTTCGACAAACTTTCGTACAAATTTCGAGCTTTTTTAAAAATTCTAAAAAATCAACCGCGTTGTTAGCCATTTGAAACTTGTACTTTATTCTACTAGAATTCAATGGCCTACAAAACTGCATACTCAGAATCTAATTAAAAACTCCAAATTTTTACGAAAATTCGTTGCACATTTGTGCATTTTTATATTGGGCTATCGGTACAAAATAAAATAATTGGGACACATTTTTTTATAGTCACAAGTTTGGTACAATACAGCAATCTTGTATTGAAAAATATGAACAAATTATTTTTCGTGACTGGGATAAAGAAAAATGTTTGTGTATTCACACAACCGGGATACGATTTGCCCCGAATTTCGGCGAATTCCCAATCGTTTTAAACTGCCTTTAAGTTTGTATTAATACGGATATTGTTAAGGAATGAACTATAAACAACTAACCAAAATTAAATAACATCAAAAATAATATTTTAAAACTTGTCAAAATTTGGTGCGGCTATAATTTTTCCGACTATCGTACATAAGTTGACTATGATTACTCGGCCGTGCTATCATAGTAGAACAACGCCACTAATACATACTTGACTTACAAAAAGAAAACCTGCAGTCTAATGTACATAAATATATACACATGTATTGATTTACGTATTAAATAATTTGTTTGTCACTTGTTTTCTATTCAACATTTCTGTGAATTTTGGACATTCCCAAGATGGCCAAACGCTGCCAATTAATCGCAGACAGCGTGCCTACAACAATGGTACTCTCATTATAGAGCAACTTCAGCGACTAGAGGACGCGGGCACTTACACTTGCATGGCACAAAACAAACAGAAACAAACGTCGCGACGCAATGTGGAGATCCAAGTACTAGGTAAGAATATTGCATACATATCCCCAATTGTGTACACTTGGCCTAAAGCCAGTGTTGTCACTTCAGAAACCAAATTAGTGGTAGATTACACATTGCTACAAAAAAGTATATAGTAGAAATACCTGGGAAGTTATGTATATGTTCTGGTAAGTCTTTTCGAGTAAAACCAGAATCGAAATATGAAATTTGCCAAACATCCCCAAAATCTCGATTTACCGTTAAAAAATCGGTTTTTCGTACTTTTACGCACTTATAAGCCTGTAACTTAGTTCATTACGAATCGAGTTTTGGTTTATTGAGGTGAAAAAAGTAAAAAAAATGTGTTTTCTGGGTAAATACACACAGATCTCTTAAGGTTTCTTTATTCACATATATATCGTTCGAAAGGCCCAAGTTTCTTCTTTTTAAACCCGGCAATAAATTGAAACTCGGTTCGTAATGAACTAAGTTACAGGCATGAAAGTGCGCAAAAGTACGAAAAACCGGGTTTTAACGGTAAATCAAGATTTTGGGGGTGTTTGGCATATTTCATATTTTGATTCTTGTTTTACTCGAAAAGAAAATATACACAACTTCACAGGTATTTTTTAGTGTCGCACAGTGTTATTAATAACAAGTAAGAAAGTCTCAGTTCGGGTGGAGCCGAACATTAAATACCCGGCGCAAGTATTAACTATATGTTTTTTCACCTTTCCGAAAGCTACCGCTAGATGTTAAGCCGGGGTGTATCAATTTTGAGTAAATTAGCGACCTTAAATTTCGAAATATTGAAGTTTCAAGCAGTTCTGAAATTTACCGTTATATGAAAAGCGGCCTCAATTTTAGTCCGATTTCAATAATTTTCAACGTTTTGCTTTTATGCGACAAGCACAATAACCATGCTGAGTTTGGTACAAATTGGTAGAACACTTACCGAGATACATATATGTGATCATAAGTGGGCGATGCCATGCCCATTTTCCAAAAGTTTATCATAACCGTATTTCTTGGTAAAGAATTGTTGCAAGCGTCAATTTTGAATAAATTAGCTTCAATATTTACTGATTTATCGAAGATTTTGTATTTCTCTAAATTACCGTTATATGGGATGTGGGCGTGGTTATTGTCAAATGTTTCAAATTTTCGGCCATTTAGTATGCTGTACCAAGACCAACAAATGTGCCAAGTTTGGAAGAAATTGGTGTAGCGGTTACCAAGATACACACATGTAACCATAAGTGGGCGTGGCTACGCCCATTTTCCAAAAATTTATAATATTCTTATTTTTTGTCTAAAAATTCTTGTAAATATTAATTTTGAGTGAATTATCTTCAGTAGTTACTAAAATATCGCAGTTTTCGTATTTCTGGAAATTACCGTTATATGGGAAGTGGGCGTGGTTATAGTCCGATTTCGCCCATTTTCAATACCAACCTACCTTGGATTAAGGGAAACCTAGATGCCAAATTTCAGTCGGCCGCTGTGGTGTAGTGGTAAGCAGTGCGCGCTTCCACTCCACAATGCCTGGGTTCAAACCCTGGTCAAAGCAACATCGCAAAAATATAGAAAGGTTTTTTCTTAACAGCGGTCGTCCCTCGGCAGGCAATGGCAAACCTCCGAGTGTATTTCTGCCATGAAAAACAGCTTCTCATAAAAATACAATCGCCGTTCGGAGTCGGCGTAAAACTGTAGGTCCCTCCGCTTTGTGTGACAACATCAAGGCGCACGCCACAAATCGGAGGAGAAGCTTGGCCAAACACTAACATATGTGTAAGCGCCAATCTATTTTATTTATTTTTAGATGCCAAATTTCGTTGAGATATCTCAATTTTTGCTCGCGTTATCGTGTACACGGACGGACGGACAGACGGCCAGACGGACGGACAGACAGACATGGCTTAATCGATTTCGCTATTCATTCTGAGCATTTATGTATACACTTGTCTATATCTATCTCGTTTCGTTTTGGCTGTTACAAACAACCGTTATGTGAACAAAATTAATATACCCTTGTGCACAAGTGCGCTCGGGTATAAAAACAGTGGTAGATCCCTAACAAGGTGTGTTAGAATATTTGTAAACTTTTTATTCGTCGAATTACACTGTAGTAACCATAGGTCCTTTCAATAACTTTTCCAGTAAGTACTTGCGGCGAGAGTGTAAAAAAAAAATAGAGAGCAAGACAAAATTATCAGAAAAAGTTATTGAACGCAAAACTAATAAAAACTTGCTACTTAGGCCATTTTGACACTTTCTGACGGTTAAGTTTTGGCGCGTAATTTTCTTTTTAATTTTTAATAGTTCCCATCGTCATAAAAATAAAAAAATATACAATAGATTTAAATCTTTCATCCATATTTTCATTTCACTAATTATGTTTCATCAAATCTTCCTCTTAAACAGTTTGTTTCCATTTGATTTTGAAACATAACCTTACTTTTTGACTCCTGCAAAAATTTGCAGTTCTCTCGGGCTGTTACACTCTCGAATTCGCTCTCTCTTGTAAATATTTTGGGTTATTGAATGCATTTCCAGTAAAAACTTGCAAATTCCAGTGACAATTTGTAACAATTTTTTGATATTGGATGGACCTCATATATGTAATACATACCTCACGAAAAATGTCAACTTTTTGAGGTACTTAGGCGGGTTGGATACTTAAAAGAACCCGCTTAATTACCTCGACGCGGGTACTTAAGCGAACATTATTGATGTAGTTACATCTTTTTGTTAACTTACATAAATATGTAAATCCTTAAATAACATATGGACATTTAAGGAAGTATACGGAGTTTAAACCAAGACCGTAGCATTATTTAAGATTTTTCAATAAAAATACAGTTCATTCCCTAACAAATACCATATAAACCTAAGCTTAAGATTTTATACAACACTTAAAGAAAAAATTCACCCAAAATTTTAAATTTTTTTCTCTGAAGTGTTTTTTGATAGTACAGTTTTATAGCCCATTAAATTTTAGTGTAACAATGTGCTAGTTTCAAGTGGCTAAAAATTACCTTTGATTTTTATAATTCTTTTTCCGAAGGTGTGTAACGCTGCCACTGAATTTCAGATTTTTTAAATATTTAAAAGAATTTTAAAAGAGCACTTAAAATGGGAGTGCAATGGGGTATAGTTGTTGCGCTGGGTATGCATTTGCAGTTGCATGGCTATACTCAATCCCGACTCTTGCATCCTCGTTCACGCACTGTGGGCAACGTGAGCAACCCATGTGCGAGTTGCGGTAACCAATCCGAGTGGAGCCTTGGGTAACGGCAGAAAGAGAGGGAGCTTCGGTGGGGCCACTCCGAATTATTCGGTTTAAGGGCTCACTGAAGTCTGCAGCGTCTGTTCACCAGTAGGTGCGGCTGCAAGCGGGTGTCTGCTTGGAGCAAGCGGCTCGCTATATAAACGTGTAGTTGGTTGCGAAACCACCCCCGTCCCAGCAATGGGTTGTGCGCTGGGCTTGGGACCCGCCACGTAAAAACCACTTCCAGTGAAGAAGCAAGACAAAGCCTCGGATGAGACCCCCCCTTATGATGACGACCACGGCAAACGTTTAAAGGACTACGATTTGAGGGTATGCACTTGGAATGTCCGGACCCTTCACGGGGAAGGTGCCTCTGCCCGGCTGGTTGATATCCTCGTAAGGACAAAAGCTGACATCACCGCCATCCAATAAATGCGTTGGACGTGGCAAGGCAAGTAATGTCTGGGGCCTTGCGACGTCTACTACAGCTGCCATGTAAAGGAGCGCAAATTCGGAGTTGGATTTGTGGTGGGAGAGAGACTCCGTCGCCGAGTACTGTCGTTCACCCCTGTGGACGAGCGTCTAACCACAATCCGCATCAAAGAGAGATTCTTCAATATCTCGCTTTTCTGCGCCCATGCCCCGACGGAAAAGAAGGATGGGGTATCCACGGATCTCTTCTATGAGCGCTTGGAGCGCACGTACGAGCGCTGCCCCCGTCATAATATCAAAATAGTGCTTGGCGACTTCAATGCCAGGGTGGGCAAGGATGGATCTTTGGCATAAAAAGATCCATAAAGCTACGTGGCTGTCTCCGGATGGAAAAACGAGAAACCAAATCGACCATATTGCGATAGACGGAAGGCACGCTTCCAGTGTTTTACGCACACTCCGAGGCCCAAACATCGGCTCGGACCACTATCTTGTTGCAGCCAAGATACGCACCCGCCTCTGTGCAGCAAAATATGTGCGCCCAATATGCAAGGAAAGCTTAACGTCGAAAAGCTGCAATCACAACAGACAGCCAGCGCTTTCGCTACTCGACTCTCACACCTGCTCTCAGTGCGAAGAGCTTGAAATGCTCCGACAGGAAGAATGTTAGGCGACTTACGGAAGGTTTAAAGACCGGGGCGTACTCCTGTAAAAACAATAATGGCGACCTTGTAACTGATGTCCAGAGAGTACTTAAATTATGGAGGGACCACTTTTCCGCCCTACTAAATGGTAGCAGCACGGAAAGTTGCGGAGAAGAAGAATACGAGCCCGCAGTCGATGATGACGGAGTCGACGTTCCACCGCCTGACTATGACGTGGTACGCATAGCAATAACGAGGCTGAAAAACAACAAAGCCGCTGGAGCTGACAGCCTGCCAGCTGAGCTATTCAAGTACGGCGGCAAGGAGTTACAATCCACAAGAAAGGTGACCCCGCCATTCGCGCCAACTTCCGCTGGATCAGCCTTCTAAGCATAGGTTACAAGGTCTTATCGAGCGTTTTGTGTGAAAGACTGAAGACCACCGTCAATGAACTGATTGGGCCTTATCAGTGTGGCTTTAGACCTGGAAAATCCACCATAGACCAGGTATTCACAATACGCCAAATCTTGGAAAAGTCCCGCGAAAAAAGGATCGACACTAACCACCTATTTGTCGACTTTACAGCCGCTTTTGACAGCACTAAAAGGAGTTGCCTATACGCCGCTATGTCTGAATTTGGCATCCCCTCAAAACTCATACGGCTGTGTAAAATGACGTTGAGCAATACCACCAGC